ATCCCAGTCTAATTTTAGTCGAATAGGTGCAATGCTCATTAGCTATAGTACACAACTTTCCTTTGTTTGTATAATACTAGTTGCATGAAGAAGCGTTGAAATAGTATTGAATTTCGATTTAATCAAAGATTATGTCGTGTGCTTCTTGATTTTCAAAGGGTACAAAAAAGCACTATCTGTCCATTAAGTATATGGAATCAGCAAAGTTAAGAATACTTTTTCTTTCAACACTTCTGCTTTGATTAGTACTGATATTTCAAACAAGTAATTAATAGTTCAAAAAAATGTACGTTATTCATCACTATCACATTCGCTATATTTATTTATTTTCATTGATTGAATGATATAAAATAACAAATAAAACTGACTGAGATTTCATCATATTAAAATTTACACTCACACCTAATAAATATACAATGAGTGACGTTGTAAAAATGACAATCATCAATGCTGATATTAACGCTTAATATACAAAATTGGTATTTAATGGTGAGTCGAATTATAGTGATTATCGGTAGTACAAGTGCTATTTTAAGTTTCATTCGTATATAGTCATGAAATAATGCGATAAAATATCGATTCTATTTATTCCGTTGTATATCATATTAGCATTTTCATGATGATGATGATACAAAATATTATGCACTTTCCAAACATGGTACGAACCCTAGTTTATTTTATGTTCTGCATTATACTGACTTTTCTATCTGCAGTAATGTTGTCATTGACAACATAATTCCATTAATTCTTATCATGTCACAAATTTTTATTATTGCATTTAGAAAAATCCAAATGACATAGATCTAATTAAGTTTATTAAAAACTACGATAAATAAGACTTTCTTCGTTTCATTTTAATGTATTTCTTTTTTTGTTCGTAGGCAGAAAGCAAAGAGATTTCATTCCTACACCGCCATGTGAATCATAAAATGATGACGTGCATAAAAAAAAATGAAGAAAAATACAAATTCGTTTCAATAAATGTGAGAAGGAGTGCATCGCTATTGACGTCATCACTAAAGAATAAATACCCCGATTTTTTTTCTATACTATACTTTATTTAAATAAAAAATATTTTTTGTCAATGGAAGCGATTTTTATATTTCTAACATCGACTGTTATTATTCCTACATGTTCAGCAAGATATTATTATTCAAGTGGATGTTGTTATGGTAGTTCGCTGCCAGTTGGTGGGACTATAGGTCTTGTAGTGGGTCTTGTTGTTCTCGTTGTAATTGCTACGATAATATCGATCTACTGCAAAGTGAAACAAACGAAAAGACGAAGAATAAATAACATTCCTACAGCAATGCAAATGGCGGCTTTGGCTCAAGAAGAAAATCGATATAAGCCACCAGGTAATAATCAAATAAGATCGAATAATCAACCACCACCGTATAGTCAACCACAGCCTAATGTTCAACCGCCACCTTACGCTGAACCACCACGATATTCTGCAGTTAATAATGAAGCACAATCAGCAAGAATAACTCCCGTTTCATGAAACACATTTTTATATGAATAAGTCTTTGATAGAATCAATTATGAATATATTATCATGTGAAAAAAATTAAACTGAATCATAAATTTTACAAATAGTAACTTTAAAATGATTTCGAACAATCTATGGATTTTTATTACAAAGTTTTTTATTTAAATAAATTTTTCTATCTACATCGCTCTTATTTGATTATTTAATTGTATATGTTATAAAGTTAGAGACATAGTATAGATTACTTATAAAATATGAAGAAATTGAGAGCGACTTTTTTTTATTTTTCTTTCATCGCATTTCAAAGCAAATTATCGCAACAAATAAAAAAAATTTTCATCTCACAACTGCATCCTACAATACAAAAAATAAATAGAGATATATAATTATAAACTAAGTTTACTACAATATATTGAGTATGTGAGATGAATTTAGTGTTCGCACGAATGTAAATAATATTATATATTCATATTAAAATAAACGCACATTTATTTTATGTTACCTTGGATTATAAGCTTAAAGTGCAAACGTGCGACAGCAAATATATTCATACAGATCTTTTTTTTCTTTTCTCTGCTTGAAAACAAAGTTCATCATTGTTAATGTTTTAGAAAAGTTTTTTCTCTTGTTTTTTTACTGTTTATTAAACAAAGAAATGATTCATTGGCAAAATATAACTCATCTAGAAAGTAAACTAGATCCATTATTGGTTTTGAGAAATTTAGACTTATTTGCTTTTGATAAAGTCATCATTTTGTCAATCGATTTAGGTTATAGATGAACTAGAATACTCATACTTTGAAGATGTTTCTTGATTATGATTTATTATTTGCAGAGAAAAGTTTTCGATTATTCTGATTTAAAAGATGTTTGATCGACTAGCGAACAAAGAAAAGAAAAGCTAAAAATAATTCATAATAAAATAATTTCTGATAGATAGATGAAAGTTTGCTATATTAATCGGCTTGTGTATCACGACAGATTAGACATTGACTTGAAGTCTAATGACGATAAAAACAATGGATTTCAGCTAGAAAAAAGAATTTCTCTATCGAACACATTTAACCATAGATCAATACATTTAGCATAGAATAATTAAATGTTCATATCGTAAGCGTTTGACAGTTCCATCGTTTTTATGTTCACTTAAACAAATTGTGGATAGATCCACAGATGATGTTTCATCATTAAGATCAAGTAACTTACAACAGATTCAAGAAGAGTAGTAGGAACAGCAAAGGGTGAACGATGAATCATCATGTTCGTTAAAAAATCTTCTGAATAACGTTTCTATCCGCAAAGAAGCATTAAGTTAGTAGCAGCAGTCATTATTTCTTATTCTTTGATTATATGAAATAATTAGAATATATTTCAGTTGTCCTAAGTGAATGGACATTATCCTACTTCTTAAAAAAGTGCTAAAAACTTATTATATACGAACATAAGTTTTTGTTTTTAATCAATGATAGGAATGAAAACAAACTATAGTAATGAAAGTCTAATATTTGTCTCCGAACTCTTTTTTTCTCAAATGTTTTTGTTTGTTGAAAATATACGTATTGACAAACGAGATGCTCAGCTTCTTGTATGTAAACATATCGGAAACAAAGCGACGTATATATGTTTTCTTAGACAACAATACTTTCTACATTAATTTCATCGCTTCGAACGAGACAGTAGAAAAATAATTAAAATATGACTACGCTTATAAGAAACACAATGTTTTCATTTGAATGTGTATTTCTCAATAATGGAAAGCATCGTTGGTGAAACGCAACCAAAACCGATTTCTAAACAACGTCGTCGATCGATTATTGTCGATTATCTTCTTTCAACTTCAACACATGGATTACGAAGTGTTGGTCGTGCCTATTCTTCTTGCAATCGTTTATTTTGGATTACCATATTTACAGTTGCTTTTGGTTTCATGTTCTTTTTTGTCATTTCATCGGTTATTGAATACTTTACTTATCCTACACAGACAACCACTGAAATTAATCTTGAACGTAAAATGCCCTTTCCTGCTGTTACAGTTTGCAATGCAAATCCGTATCGACTCGATAAGATGAATGCGTCACTTGTTGCATTTGTCAGTCGATTATATTCACCTAATAAAACATACAATCAGAACTTACTCGATTCACTTGCTATACCACTCGTGATCGATTTATTCAATCGTAATCAAACGGAGGAACTCGCATCAATTGGATTTCAACTAAGTGATATTTTACTTAGTTGTGTGTATAATGGTATCGATTGTTCCAATTTATTTACACGTTCACTTACTTCGGCTCTTGGTAATTGTTTTACATTCAATTGGAAAACATCAACACCGTTTTTTACAATAGCCGATTACGGTGATACTCTTCTTTTGAGAGAAGCTCTTCAAATGACATTTTATGTACCACGTGAATCTAATTTTCCTGTTCCATATTTTATGATCGGTCTCAATATAGTTTTACATGACAACGACGAATTTCCATTGTCTATCGAGAATGGTCTTGCTCTTGCGCCTGGTTTATCTCATTTGATAACTTATCGTAAAAGTTCAGAAACATTTCTTCCAGCACCATATAGTCAATGCACATCCAACGTGAGCAGCGATTTGCGTGCTCTCTACAGGACAACATTTACCAATAGAAACGTGTCGGATTCCATTCTCTATTCGGAGTCGGTCTGTAACGAGTTGTGTGAACTAGCCTATATCTTTTCACAATGTTCATGCATTCTTCCAATACCATTCTTCACACGAAATGTTCTCGCACTCAATGGTAGTCTCGTGTCTGCCCGTATCTGTAATCCACTTACTAATGAGTTTTCATGTGCATTCACTGCTAAACAACAACTGGCAGCCAGTGATCAATTACAAACCGCCTGGTGTTCTCATTGTACTTCGCAATGTCAATATACCGATTTCACAAGTGATTTAAGTGCACAAGCAGCTCCATCCGATACGGAAAAGGCAACGTGGGCTGCAGCACTATTAAATGGAAGTAACACGACCATCTTATTACCTGACGATTTTGCCCAAAATTTCAGTTATTATATGGATCGGAATTACTTAAGAGTTGAAATTCAATGCGGTAGTAAATATGTTATCGAGTACAAACAAGTAGCGACATTGTCACTCATTGATGTATTTGCCTCTATTGGTGGACAGTCAGGCTTGTAAGTAAATTCATCCTCGTGTTTTGTAAATATATTTTCTTTATACATACCTAGATGGATTGGTCTGAGCGTACTGAGTATGATCGAATTGGGTGAACTTATCTTCCGACTTGTGTACAAACACATTTTACATTTGAATAGTCCACAAAACACTGAAGTCACGCCAGTCGTTGCTTTCAATAATGATTAACAGTTAAAAACGTCTTATATTTAACCAATGAACATCAAAATATTTTCTTTTGCCGTTCTATATGCTTAAATAAATATCTTTCTATCACTAACCTAATTAAAGAGATCATAAAATGTACATTGATGTTCCCCATTCCAAAATAGTTTGCATTTATAATTGAGTAAAATGGATCAAGATATTTCTTTTTTTTATTTTTTAAAGCTTTTTATATGCACAATAAACGCATCTCGTCGAAAAATGAAACAAACAAGATATTGAACGTGATTTATTACAAGACTATTTAAACTCTAGACAAAGACATACATTTATGTAAAATGACAATTCGTACAGAAGATTTCATCTAACTGCATTATTTCTTCTGTCTACAATGAAAATAGGCTTTACTCGATTTACGAATCTTTGACATTGGCAAAGAAATTCTTTAATATGTCTTCTGAAGGCTTTAGATGCAATGAGATACACCCAGAAAGAAGTACCGCTGGTCATGAGTGTAGTTAAAATGATAGTATATAAAATAAGTTCTTCATATATCCATTGTAGAGTTGTTTTCGGAGAGTAGAGAGTAGCCAAAAAATAGACAAAAAAGCTGGACGATGGAATACCATTGGTGAGTAAAATACTCATTTGAATGAGCATCATACGAGTTACTGCGGCGTCTAACTTGCGAACACGTCTTCGAAGTCGCATTAGATTGTACCAAGTGAGAGAAAAGAAAATGACAACTAGAAGCATTGGCATAAAATAATATCCTACTAGAACCCAATAGTTACCATAAGCAACGATTATAGTAATAGCAGTACAACTATACGTCGTACTCGATGCAGGAACGAGTGTATAATTAATAAGTAATGGTGAAAAGATCGAAAGCCAGGCAAGTGCTGTAAACAGGATCATTAACAGAGCTCGGATATGCGTAATTAATCGATGCCATCTAACTTGTGGTAATGTAATCAGATATTGACCTAGAGCTGCAAAACAATTGCACATGAAACTAAAAGAACCACTGGAATAAGTTAACCATAAATTTGTTTTGCATAAAAATAATGATCTGTTTACTGGATTAGAGCCACTCAATACTTGAAAAACAGCTGGAAATAGTCCAACGTTGATATAAACGAGACTACCAACTGCAGAGGCAATTATAAACAAGGAGTTTGGATGTTTCTTCAAAGCCGGAATACATAGAAAAGCAAAACAGATGCACATATTGCCAATTGTACCCAAAATCATAGTCATCACACCAAAAATTTCATACGAATAATCTATCCAATTCACAAAAAGATTCAAAGCAGCGGCAACCGTCGACATTCTCGTTTATGAAAATAAACGCAAAAGATAACTTATTTATATCGTTAATGATTTCGTGCAGATTATAAAATAGTTTATGCATGACTAAAAAGCTAAGATAATGAAATAGTCTATGTGCGTGACTGATGAGCTAAGATAATGAAATAGCGTGTATGCATGAATGATAAAATTAGAAATCTGGGTTAAAAATGAGATTATATCAGGGCATTTTGAATAGTCATTAAATTCATTTAAAACTCAATTGAATTGCTCATTAATCAGCCATCAATGGATAGAATACTTGACATAGTATTTTTTGCTCTATATATGAACCATATATATATAAGTTCTCAGTTGTGGATACTAGAGAAATAATGATAGTTTAAATTCATTATAAAGTATCGAGACATGTCAGTGCGATAATAAGAAGTTTAAACAAAAACATCAAATAAATATATTAATGTCAAAGACTTCATGGTTGTTTTATAAATTGAGGATGCGAAATGATTCAATTAGGATCAAATATGTTTTTATTATGAACTTTGAAAGCAACTTTCTCACTACAACATTAATTTTTTTTAAAAAGACATGAGACATTCGATTAATTATGAACAAACTTTTGTATGCGACTATTATAAATATCCGCTACATATAAATTTAGTTCATTATCGGTAGCCAGTGCACAAGGTGTATTAAATAACATCGACGTACTACCCGCAATGCCGTTCACACCAGAGATGTCCATGGCGGCGCTGCCGCTGCCGCTGCCGCTGCCGCGACGCGACCGCCACGGCGGCAGCGGCAGCGGCGCGGCAGATTTTTTAGAGAATCATCGCGGCGCGGTAGCGGCGCGGTGGGTTTTCAAAAGTAAAGCGGCGGTAGCGGCGCGGCAGCGGCAATTTATCTTTTTTGGCTATCGCGGCGCGGCGCGGCAGCGGCTGATATTTTTCGAAATATTTCTCCAATTGTTTCCGAGTATATCTTAATACATAAAATTATAATTCTGTCTTCATTCAGATTAATTAGAATATTTTCTCGATCAACACACCATCGAGACTATTTTATTGACATAAAATTCAATGATAATGCTATTTGAGAACATACATATTTATATATGCTGTTCTGTTATAATTGATATCCATCTTTACTACTTAATAACTTTCAAGAATATAATAAGCTTGATTTTATTATATTGTAGTTTTGTGCATGAAGAAAATTTACTTATTTGATACACTAAAAAATGATGTACTTAATATGTGTTTCAAAGAAGATTGAAAAATATTCACGCAAAATTCATATCAACAGGCTATAGTTATGGCTGTACCCACATACTGATTTCTAGTCGTGCTCTCTGTTCACCCTTAATCTATGAATAGTTCATCCGTTTATTAACAAGTAGCGTTCATCGAAATTCGATTCACTTGACCCCAGACTGTCGCGGTCTGTATGCTGATATAACTCTATTTATATACGAATGAGAGTTAATCAATGTTAGTTTTGACTTTCAGCAGAGAATCAAACTGAAGTTCTATCTTATATGAAATCAAGTATTCTCTAAAAGTTTGATATTTGACGAATGAATAATAAAGTTTAAAAATGCTTTAGCTTTATTAAAGTCAATTTTATAAAAAGTAGGATTTCAAAAAAAACTGCAGTGGAGATCTTTCTATCATTATATATCAAAATTGATTTTGAACTCTTTTATCTATATGCACTATAGCAAGACTATTAAACCGACAAATTCATTGAAATATTTTGCAATAATGCATCAACTAGACTTTTAATATGATGAAATTACAATGCGTATGGTTTTAAGCTTCTAATTCTGGGTCTTATTTTATTGAGTCATCGTACAGGACGTTTCGACACATCATCGTTTTTTTCAAACATGTATTAAAAATATTTGTCGATGATGATAAATGATATGCTATATAAAAATAGGCAAACATTTTTTCCAAAGCTTTATAATACTCTATGTATACGAATGTTCCGTTTTTTATTATTAATATTATTTGATTTTCCTCCACATTAAAAGAAAACTAACGTTGCCTCATTATTTCACTTTATTCAATAAAATAATGATCTATATATAATTAAGAAATATTTTAAATATTTAAGTAAGCGCTCTTTTCATACGATTGAATAAAATATTATATATTAAATATTATGCTATTAAAATAAAACGATAATAGCAAATAAAATTATATTATCAAAAATATACCATAGTTATATGGTTATTTGCGCCAAAAAAATGGTCACTTGTGTCAAAAAGTAAAATGGTCACTTGTGCCTAAAAAATAGTCAGATGTGCCATAAAAATGGTCATTTGTGCCAAAAAGTAAAATGGCCAAATGTGCCAAAAAATGGTCACTTGTGCCACAAAAATGGTCAAATGTGCCAAAAAAATGATCATTTGTGCCAAAAAGAAAAATGGTCAAATGTGCCAAAAAAATGGTCACTTGTGCCATGTTACCGACAAAAATAATACATGTAAAAAGATAATTCCCGTTTCTAGACCCTATCCTTTTCAGTCTAGGGAAAAAAATTTAATATTCGAACTCTTTTCACTTATTTATTATATTGCAAACTTTTGCAAGTATTATAATAAGAACTTTTCATATTCTCATTATTAGATATATATATATATATATATATATATGTAATTTTTGAATAATTTGCTATTATGAAAAAGATTTGAAATACCAGAGATATCACTGAGCAAATAAATAAATTATTAATGGCAGTAACAGAAATGGAAGGCCGTTATTTAATAAAATCTATCAACTCTAGCTTATTTCACATTTCCTTTATGTAAAAATAAAAGACAAACTATACAGAGTATAGGAGTGACAGCGGTAATTATATGGCAAACGAAAAATAATACAAATAGAGAGTATGACTGTTAGAAAGTATTCTAATAGAGAAGAATAATCATTCTTTTCTTACTTATATGTACATATGTACGTCAATGACAATCTTCTATCCACGAGAAAATTTCGTCCTTGCTGACCTATTCCTCTCCCTCTTACAACTTTATATCTTTTTTTTCTTTTACTAGTTTGTTTTCCTTTTATTATCCAATAAGTATTAAAAGAAAGAAGATAATAAATATAACAATGAGGGACCTCTATCAGTGACTATAGTCAATTTGTAGAAAAATAAATTGTATATTTCATCGTTGACTTAATACAATGTTATGATAATTGATATACAAAAATAAACATTCTGTAGACAACATATCTAATAGTGTTCTTAACAACCATAAACAAAAATACCAATCTTTTCACAATTAATAATATTTGTTTATTCTTTTTTATTTAGAAAAATTTGGTTCTTATTATCATTTTTCACTTTATATTAAAAATATTAATATTTATATTGTAAAGAAAATATTTACAAATCGTATCGAATGACAAGCCCTAATCTTTCTTTATCCTCAAATGATGATGAAATTGCTCTTGATATAACGTCACCAACAAGTAGATTACAAAAAGAACAATTAAAATCAAAATTCAGATTAGCGGCTATTGATGATATTGAAAAAAAGTCGCGGTATGAAATTAAAGAAAAAGCTGATGAAATAAAAAGATTGTTGTGTATGCGAGTTGGCAGATATACTGTTAATGCAAGTGGTGTAACTAAATCACATTTAGCTTCTTGGTGGTCAACTTTTGGTTTTGCGAAGGAAGAAGTTTCTGGTGAAACATATTTTGTTTCTAATTTTGTATCTTGCCAGAAATGTTTTACTACTTATCGTTATGGATCATCGTCGACAGAATCTATTTCACGGCATCAATGTAATAGTTCGATTTCATCATCACCCAAATCAGCAACTATTGATAATCAATTTACACTAGATAAACATTTTATCAAGGAAAAAAAAATATTTCGTCATTTTGAAAAACAAAATGCAACAAAATTATTTTGTAATTGGGTGTCGGATAGTTTCCGTCCAATCTCAATGATTGAAGATCAAGGTTTTTATGAAATATGTTCATATTTCTATGACTTAGGTAATATTTTTTTACGAATTTATTTCGCATGTACAATAGTTAATAACACACTGTTTTTTTTTTAATTTTAGGAACCAAGAATTATAATCGCAACATGGATGTTCAAAGTTTATTCCAGTCTCGACAAACTGTATCGCGTTGTATTGTAGACCAAGCACAATATTATCGGCAACAATTAAGTGATATTATTCGAGAACCACTTGATAATCATTGTGTAACTCTTTCGCCAGATATGTGGAGTGATAAATTTCGTCAATTGTCGTATTTAGGAGTTACAGCAACGTTTATTGATATAAATATGAAGTTCAAAAAATTTACTTTATGCTGTCGTAGTTTTCCGGTAGAATTAAGAAAAACAGGTGAAAACATATCAAAGGTAAGAATAATTAATATGATAAAAACTAAATAATTAAAAAATTTTATATGATAGGTTTTGAAAGAAGAATTTGACAAATATAAAATTGACCGCTTTGATTCTGTTTATTGGGTGAGCGATCGGGGATCAAATTTTATTAGATGTTTTAACTTAAATATGGTTGAGCCAATTTTGTGTTTCGCTCATCGAATGCACAACGTGTTAACCATCACCTTCATGAACAAGAAGATTGATGATTACTTTAATGATGAAGATATAGAAGATATTCCAGATAACATCGATCAAGAAGAATATCTTGGTGATGAATCTATGTCATTAGCTGTTAAAAGAATTTTATTGACCATTAAATATACAAAAAATCTCGTGAAATATGTTAAGATGGTACGTTCATATTTTTATCAGCTAGGTAATAGCTTCTTATATTTTTTTATTTTACATTTTTAGTCGAATTTAAATGAATTGATAGTTAAACTGGGTGGTGAAGGAACAACAACACTCAAGCAATCGGTAGTTACTCGTTGGCTATCTCTATTCACATGTGTTGAGTCAGTTTATCTTAATTATGATGCAACATTATTAGCATTAGAACATCGACGTGCAACGAAATATTTGAATGAATTGTCTAAAAATAATTTAATAGACTTATTACTTTTACTAACTCCACTTCATGTTGCACTTCAAAGTATTCAAATTGATATGGCACCATCTCTGCATTTAGTAGTTCCATTTTATCAAAAATTATTAAACGATTATGGAAGTTATTCAAAATTAGTTGCATCAGCAAAAAAGAAAAAACCATCTTTATTTCAAAATTCATTTGTTTCGGATCATTTATTAACTGAGTCTAGTGGTATGTATTTTTTGTGTATGATTATAAACTGTGTGTCAGCTGTGTATAAATATTCATGATATTGTAAAACTTACTCTAGCTGAAGTCGGAAATTCTTCTGCCAAATTTTTCTCTCTTCATTTTTTTGCTTGAATCAAAAACTAATATAATGTTCTTCAGATTTTCTATATAAGATGCAACCTATTGAGTTATGATCGTAGGGCAATTAATTTTATTATTTGTTATAGCTGAATATTTTTTTTATTATTCTAGGTGTTCAATTTTTTCGTGAACGAATTTATGAGAAGTTATTGGAGTTATTCGTATTTGATGATAGGCATTATATTGCAATGTGCTTGCATCCAGCAATGAGAGAGATGGGTATGAGAAATACATATTTTGTTATATTAGCATAATTATATACCATGTACTTAATTAGATGGGATTCCATATCACACAAAAACTGGTTGCTACAATAATATTCGACAATACTTACAAGATGAAGAAGTTGGTATTATTAATACACCAACAACAACTGATACTTTATCAACAAACAAAAGGAGAAAATTATTGCACAAATTCTTAGAAGAGGATGAAGATGAAGATGCTCATGAAGGTAACATATATATTACTAGGTAACTCAATACGAAACTACTATTTTCTTCTATTTTTATAGCTGAACAAACACAAACACAAATACTTGATTCAAATATAGATATTGTTGATGACGATAATTTACTTGTTCATAAATCTTCCATTCGACGTTCACATTCAAATTCTTCTCTTTCAACTGAATTTTCATATAGAACGAATTATCGAACACTTAAACCAGATGAACTTGATCTATATCTTGAAACAGATATACCATCAACGATAGTTAAAGAAAATCCTATTGATTTTTGGTCCAGTGAATTTGCTTCAAGATTTCCACGTTTAAAAAATTTTGCTAGAAAAATACTATCAATTCCTGCTACATCGTCAGGAACAGAACGGTTATTTAGTTATAGTGGTATTATTTTGAATAGTAGGAGACAGCGACTTTCACCAGACCAAGTAGATAATATGTTAGTTATTAGAAGTGCGCGACAAATACTTTCGAATATCAAACAGGTTGATTGAAGATTTACTTTTTTTTAAAATATATTTTGTTAATAATTTATTTGGAAGAAAAAAAATGAAATGTAATAAACATTTAAATTAACTTGAACCAATCTTTTTTCTTTCTTATATGTAAATGACCAGCCTATATTGATAGGCACGAAAGGCAGTAATTAACCTGAAGCTTATTAACATATATATACTAGATTGTAATACCTTAAAACTAAACATGACAATATATGCATATATGTAGTGTTTTATTAACGCCGAATTTTCGTCATTTCTATCCTTTTCTAAATAGAAATGTCGGTATGTAAATGGAAAGGACCTATTTAATTGACATATTATATTCCTTTCACAAGCTTTATCTTGATTACGTGTTATACACTTCTGGTTCTGCCGAAATTTTAATATATTTATCACTGTAATTCATGCTATCTTATATAGATATTTGACCACGTAGAAAAAGCAGTTTCTAATGGACTCTAAGATCTAAAAGAGTTTATGTTGTTAAATTGATGGCAAATAAATATAAACTAACTGTCTCTTTGCGGATTATAGTAGATCTTGATAAATTGCTCAACTTAAAATTAACTCCGATTGATTTTTGCAGATTCTAACAATTCTATTATGCACTGTGTTAATCTTTGGAAGAATCTAGAGAATTTAGGGGATCTGCTAGAATCTATTATTCTTCGTTGTATTTGACAACCCAAATCATGAACTTTTTAACATATATTTTCGTACTTTAGAGTGGAACACTAATTTTAGATTATAGTTTATATAATCGCGGCAGCGGCGCGGCAGCGTTCATGTTTTAGAGTAGCGCGGCGCGGCAGCGGCGCGGCACCAGGTTTTTTAAACGACCGCGGTGCGGCAGCGGCGCGGTAGCTCTTACTTCTCCGAGCAATGCGGCGCGGTAGCGGCGCGGCATCATGTTTTTTAACAGACGGCGGTGCGGCAGCGGCAGATCACCAGCCGCGATGGACATCTCTGGTTCACACCAGCTATTGTTGTACCATTCACCTGACCGGATAAGAAAAATTGTATACGTTTATTGTCTTCATCTGCCACATACACATTACCCATTGAATCAAGTTTCACATCTTTAGGACTATCGAGCAACAACGATGTATTACCGCTCAAACCATTGCTATCACCAGCTACAAGTGTCGAACTATTGGCGCCGTACACCCAACGAAGAATATTGTGTGCGTTTGCATTAGCAATGAGAATACTATTCGATAATACATCATAATACAATCCTCTAGGACCGTTTAATTCTCCATTACCACCAACTACTATATCACCTGATGAAGCACCCGATAAGTACCGCATCACACGATTATTGCCAGTATCCGATATGTAAAGTGTATTTGTGCTTGAATCAAGTGCTATACCTTGTGGTGATGAAAGCTGATTATTAGCAGAACCACTCGTACCTATTCAAATAGACGTATACAAGATTTCAAGAAGACCATTAAAAGGATGATAAAAGGGAACTTCTTTTTATCGTTGACGATGCCGAAACAACGAAGCAAATTATAAGATGAAGAAATATCTTAAAATAAC